TTTTCACAGTCATACGAAAACTGCACTAATGTTGATACGACACTATAGAAAATAGTAGCGCATGCGTGCAATAGTCCAAGCAGTAGTTAAAGGAGAGTTCTAGCGCATTTTGCCAAGCTCAATCACGTGATCAGCTCGTGACCAAATTCTGAGAAATGCTGACGTGTGCAAATTCTGAGAAAACAGTCAAGGTAAAAAGTTTTGTGTACTTTTGATATTTAACTTAATTTAGTGTCCACCGAGGGACCATATCAACCTCATGTTGCCGATATGTATTGGAAATACCACTTTTAAAGAAGAGTTGATGAGAAATACCAGGTGCATCTTAATATTTGATGAAAGTGGATTGCCGACCCGAAAATCTTCTAAGTTCGAAAAATACCATAGTTATGGAAATACCAAGTGCATTAATATTTGACAAAGTGGATTGTCGGCCCGAAAATGTTCTAAGTTTGAGGCTCAAAATCGTTTTAATGAAACTTTGACAATACGTGGCCTATATATTGCAGCAAATGTAGAAAAACTATTAAAAAAATAAATGAATGTAAAATTCATCGAGTACGTAGTTTTGAATTTACAAGAATGTTATTTATCTAACAAAACATATAGTTAAAGATATGGCTCACAGCAAACTTTTATCGACCTATGTTATTTTGGAATATCATGCTACGATTTTTTTTTTCAAGATTCTTTTATTGGATTATTAGTTCCAAAGCGATTTATCTACTCCGATGTTTATTGTCGAGGAAATAACTTCACAGACTCTGTTGAAAATTCACAAAATATAATGCTTCCCATCGAAATATCAAGCCAAAACTCCAAGCAATGACTATGAGACCCTTAAGGATTATTCCAGTAAACAGTTTCATCTGAATTAAAATTTATAAAAGTCAAAAGCATGATTTGCAAATAAAAAAGCAGTACTTTCAAGAACAGCATTTTTGTATAATAGTAGTCTTGAATTTACGTCATCTCATTTGCATTTTGATATTTCAATTGTTTGTATCTCTGAAAAGAGAAGAAAATATATAAAAATACTGCAACCATACTACTACACTGTTCACATTGAACTTTATCATTTCGTAGAAACGAACTTTTATGTGCCTACTACTGATGCTTAGTGTCTTTCAACGGAACCAAGTAAATAGCGACCTTAAGCTTTCCAAAATCTACGACGTGGACTTCAACCGGAAGTGTAAATAACTTTAGGTTTCGCCGCCTCAAAGTCTGTCTTCCCCGTGGATGAGTTTAGTTTTACTGACGATGTTTTGAATGAAATCTCCAATGAACAGAACCCCAAAGAGAAATTATTTATGATTATGGTTGACTTCGCCGTCGCAGATTTTGGCAGGTGTCGATCCAGTACTCCAATACTGCAGTTTTTGGGAGTTTCTTTGTTCTTTAATAATTGTTATGTAGGTCGTTGTCGTTACTTCGTCGCCTGTTTTTAGACTCAGTAGCACAATTTATTGCGTAAAAAAATGTGACTGGGAGACACATGATTATAGAAAACTGCTACAAACAAACATTCAAACACCGTGCTTTTGGGTCACTGTCTGGAGGATACGAATAATCTACTGACAGAAATAACAACAGATCATGAAAAAGTCCTTGTTCACAATGATGGGAAAGTTAAGATGGATCAAGATGTTTTCAACAGAATAATGTCCTCTATCAATAACAACATAGGTGTATTGAACTTTTATTCAGTTATTTCAAAGTGGGGGAGGGGGCTAAGATTAGAAAATATGAAATACTAGTATTTCTGAAGCTACACGCATTTCTATAGGATCGAAGACTTTATTGGACGTAATTAGAGTAGGATCAGAAGGCTTAAGCGACCGCAACATGGTCTTCTGTGTGCGAAAGATAAATTGCAGAAAAGCGCCGGCACAAACGGAATTACTAAGGAATTACGCATAGTATGATCCTACTTTGTTTTTCCAGGATCTGAATAATGTTGAGTGGGATTTCACTGGCGACTAAGGGTGATCGCTCCTTAAATGAACAATGGTCTAACCGTCACGCCCCGCTTATTCACAAACTTTAGTTTGTGTTGTGTTAATACTAGTCTCCCTCGCATCCGTTTTTAGCGTTGCGTGACGACCGACACTAAAAACGGATGCGAGGGAGACTATGTTAATACTGGTAGAAATTGAATGCGTTCGGTGTTTTGTAACTGTGAAGCGATTTGCTCTTTAAGCTTAAGCATCCTTGTATGTGTCACGTGATCATACTGACCAATCAGATTGTAGCATTTACATAAAGGCATGGAGTAGTCCTAAATGTCTAGTGTTCTCACTGTCATGTTGATATTTACTTTTAGGGTCACCCCAGACATTGCGGTATCTTGCTGAGTATTGTAAGTTATAATAGCTTTTTTAATGTTCTCTCGTAGGCTATGGATGCTGAATTGTATGATGCTTTGGTTTCCGCTGGAGTAAAGCATGAGACTGGCAACTCACCAAGCTTGTTSACGATGAGGTAAATTCAAAACGAAACTGTCTTGCAAGATATATTTGTATTCCTTCAAGAAATACTGATATATACGGTAGAAAAATATAAACCATGTTTCCACACAATGGAATATCCCTCTTGTCACTTATTGTACACACCGACTCGCCTGAAAACTTATAATGATAATACGAGTTAAACAAAAACAAAAACAAAAATAAATAAATAAATTAATTAATTAAAATAAAATAAAATAACATTTACATATCACCGAGCTACTTGATTGGCTAATAGAGAACAATGTAGAAAGGAATSTTGTTCGAGTTGGAGCAGACGGTRGTGGGGGAATGACGGGAACCGGAAGCGCCTCACAACGGCTGCGCAGGAGGGTACTAGGGTTAAGACCTATAGATTTTAAGATCCTCAATATTTTGACCACAAAMGAAAAAGGAAATTGATTTCTTTCGCTAATTACTGAGAAACGATTTTTTTAAAAATTCCATTCCTTCATTGTAAAAAGCTGTGCTTCCAATCATGTAAGGGAGCAAGCATTAAGACCCACTGTCGTGGCCGGGTAAGGGTTGGCGACTAGGTGAACCAAGTCTTGATTCTCTGAATGATTAATTTTACAACTGTACGTGGTATGCCAGTTTACAGCTAGATAGTTTGATGTATCATGCGCAGGGACCCCGGAGCCTTTGRGGCTATATATATAGCCACTCTCCCAATGATTTTGCCGCCATTTTCGGTTTGGGCTATATTCGGAAGTTATTTTTGAAATCATCAAGAAACGAAAGAAATTTGAAAATGAACGAAACAATTAAGGTTTCCTTGCCCTGCCAAGCGTCCAAAAAACAKCCCCATGATGCAACGCATTCTGCAAGCCGGAAAGGGTAATRAAGAGAAAACGGCAATAGAACATGCAAAATATTTTAAAATTTTATTTTGGCGATTGTGATTATATTCTGTACATCCAATCTTGATCTTTTAATTATCTAATTCAGACTACCAAAGGCCGTAACATAAAAATATGATACACGTAACTAAAAATACAATTAAATGACTGGATTTTTGTTTCTCAAATTCCCCACCAGAATAAAGGTCACATAGGAATTGGCTTGACTTGAGAAGTTAATCAAGATTGGACAAATTCCAATAATAAAATTGCGATATTAAAAAAATCAAAAAAAAATATAAAAAAAAGTATAGGAAATCGCACGATCTCGAGTAAGATCGTGCGATTTTTTGTTTATAGTTCACTTAACAAAATTTCAGTAAAAAATGCGAAGCGAAGCCTTTCATCTTTGTCTATTTGGCGGCCGATTTTTACTCCATCGCGCAACTGAAATGCATAAAAAAGATTAGTTCTTACGGCTTTAAAATTTTATTTATGTTTTTTAAGTACAAAATGATAGAAAATAATTGTTTTGACATTGTT